GTGGAAATAGAAATCCCTGATCGTCAAGACAGGGTCAAGTTTCCGTGTAGATGCTGGCTAGCGCAAGATGTAGACGATGGAAAGATTGAAAGAGAAATGTTCCCTGTCCCGCAACTGCCTAGTAAGTACATATCTCTTCTGTCACGCTGTCACGCAACTGATTTTTTGCATCTTCGCCATAAAGCTGAAGTCACGCGTACGACGATTTTCGGATTCGGCAACGCTTTGCAAGTTTTTGATTCAGCTTTAAAAACTCGCAGCGTACACTGGCGAATTTTATTGCAAGTTGATTCGTGTAACAGCTTTATTCGCCATTCTTTTTGTTTTGTCCTCTTGACGCCCCATAATGCCTTGCGATCGAAGATGGCCTCTGTATCGTCGGAGCAGTCCACTGGATGAGCTTATCAAACTTGGATTCACTCGTACTTTCTCTTGTTATAGAAACGTCATACACCATGTCAGTCAAGTTGGGTGAGGTGCTCACACCAGACACCAACCTTCATGTTCAGATATTCGGAGAAAAAGGAGAAACAAGTAAAATAATGCTGCGACCAGTTGGCACGTCATTCAATAGATTCGAGAAAGGAAGGACTTATAAATTCACTGTTGAGACGGTTGACATTGGAAAGGTACGAATATTTTTGTGTTTATATCCCGTGCACTAAATACCGTTAAATCTCAGCACGTGCATTTGCAAATTAGCGAGAATTTAACGTAAAATTAAATAATGGCTCCTTTTTGGTTRAAACAATTCTAATACGGGCGTACCGTGCTGTAAAAACAGTAGTTTTCGTATGACTGTGCAAAGCTCACGGAACGAACACGGTAGTGACACAGCAAGGTATACGCCAGACCAATCATATTGCGCGAGAATTTACTCTCTATCCAATCAAATGCCCAGAACATGGCATGAACACGGTGTGGACACGGTCACGCTAATGTCACAGCCCTGCCAGACCAATCACATTGCGCGAAAAAAAAATCCCACAATCAAATTCTAGAAAGCGCCACGGTCACGACAAGGCACTCATATGTCACCGACTTTTTCATACGAAAACTGCTCTAAGAGAGGGAATGGTTCGCCTTGAATTGAGGATTTTTCTCTTCGTTCTCCAGTTTTCCTTCCTGCCGAAAACCCTAAATTTAAATTCCAATTTCTTCTTTCGTTCAGCCCATATGCYTCCATAATATTGACATCTTTAATAACATTTGCTAGATTCAAAGGCTTCGCATCGGCCATGACGCACGTGGACCGGGCAAAGGAATTTTCGTAGAGGAAGTAGATGTGCTACCATCTGACGGCGAGCGAGCGACSTTTCCTTGTTCATGCTGGCTTTCGGAAGACAAGGCTGATAGTAAAATAGAACGGGATGTTTTACCTGGWAAACCCAAGCCACCAAGACCTAGTAAGTTATGTGATATTTAATCWGTGATTTCTCGTGGCATGTTCTCTTGTTTACCACGTTTGCTTACATCGTTACATTGTCAAAGATTTTGGTCATTTACGAGTACGACTTAGATTCATTTTTGCAGTAGTAGGTACCTGCAACAAAAATAAAATTATGTAGAAACAACGACAGCAGCTGGAACAATAACAACAGAAACAATAACAGTAGTAGCAACAACAGCTACAGCAGCAATAACAAAAACAACAGCAGCAACAACAGCAACGGCACCAGCAAAAGCAACAATCGCAGCGGCATCAGCAAGGAGAGTAGTAATGATAACAGCCGCAACAGCAACAACACAGCAAGCGCAACAACAGCAACAACAACAGCAACAACAACAGTAGTATCAACAACAGAAGCAACAGCAACAACAGAAGCTGAAAATATGTAAAATTTTATTAAGGCTTGCGCTGTGCACTACCGACCACGCGATAGCCTGGCATAAGCCCTTTTAACCTTGAGTACCCAACCCATCAAAAACTTCAGGTCCTGCAATGAGTATTATTGTATGTGAACAAGTTTTTTCCCCCTCAGATGTGTCGTACCACCTCGCCATCAAGACAGCCGATGTACCCAATGCAGGTACCGATGCCAATGTCTACTTCCAACTGATCGGAGACGAGGCAGAAACAGAGAAGATACAGCTGAGGCAAGGAGGGAAGTCTGAGAAGAGATTCGAGCGGGGCAGGACTGATAAATTTATTGTGGAAACTGTTGACGTTGGACCGGTAAGATTTTTAGAGTACTCCACATATCTGTACTAAATGTATAACATACGGCAGCAAAAATCAATGTGAGTTGAGAGGTGTGTTCTTGAAATACTAAACGTAGTGGTAGTGAGTGTGGACTACATATGGCGTTAGCCCCCAAAGAGGGTTTTTGCACTAATTTATACCTCTATTAAGCGACCAACCTCTATTTAGTGACCAGTTGTCAAAGTCCCAAAGAGGGTTTTTGCAC